TTTACAATTTTATATCAGCTTAAACTTTTTTTGAAAAGTAGAATGTTTTATGTTGTATAAATTATGTTTTTTTTCCAAAAGTATTAAGTTCTTCAGTGATTTTATTGCTCTTTAAAATTTTGTTCGTGTTCTGGAAGTGCATTGATATTGAAGGCATGTTGCTACACATTTAAAATTTTCCAGTCAGCTGTGTAAATCTATTTTCTATGTTCCTGCCAAATTTCATTAAAAAATATTCATGCGCAGACACCCTATTTTGCCACCTAGTGGAGGTTACTGTTACTGTTACACTTTATTAAACTGTTTCTGTTAATGTTACTGTTACTTCTTGATATAAATTCCGTTGTTTTTTTTACATTTACTAGTGATTTTTATTAGATTTTCAAATTTCGTTTCTGTTCTGGAGGTACATTAATATTGAAGGCATGTTGCTACACTTTTAAAATTTTCCTGTAAGCAGTATAAATCTATTTTCTATGTGCCTGCTAAATTTCATTAAAAAATATTCATGCGCAGACACCCTATTTTTCTGTACAGTGGAGGTATGTATTTCCACTTCCGTTTAGGCGGGGAAGGGGGGGCCGTAATTTGATGGTGAGCATTAGGTATATTAGATTGTTTATTCATAATAATGAGTTATATAGATAGCTTTCATTAAAAAGGTATACAATTTTTTTTTTTCAATAGCCTTTTATTAGTAATAAATGGCTATTGAAAAAAAAAAGTTGTTAGTAATATTATTACTAACACTATTGATGATTTCACACACCAAAATTAGTTGCAAGGCTAAATTTTGTTAAATCTAATTTCAAATGCTGAAATAAAAATTATGACACTTTTTTATGGCGATTCAGAATAAAATGCGAAATAATGATAACAAACAAAAACAGCATTTTCTCAATTTTTTTCTGTACCCATAATTTACCATATAACCACCAACCAGCATTATTTATGATATATAAAAATTATATATATCTATAATTTTTTATTGACTAAAGGCAATTTATTAGTTAGTTAATTGTGATTGATTGCTGACCCAATTAAATAGTAATTAAATATTAATAATGATTAAATTACAATTAAAGTAGTGTTATGATCGTTGAATTTAATTTAGTGCATCATGGGACCTAAAAAGAAAACAAATCTATTTTATGGTAAAGCTAAATCTTATTTAGTTTGTAATTTTCCAATACCAGCTCATTTAAATATGGGCTGTAGAAATGGACATGTACTGCATATATTGGCAACTAACAATGATTCATACCAAGTAACTTTAGAACTAATCAGTAAGTAATTTAACATCAACATTTTTCCCAATCAGATTCTGCAACTAGTTAGAAAATCAAAAGTCTTTGAAAAGGTTTTTCACGAAATTCATAACAATTTATTGACATCTGCAACATGCTCTTTGAATACCAACCAACAATATCTGCTGTGACTCAAACATCACAGTTAATCACAACCTCTAATCACATAGCTACGTGTTCTTCATTTTTTTCTGAGCAAATCGCTGTTTCGTCTCTATCAAATAGTGTCTCTTCTCAAGAATCATTATCCAGGTTGAGAGCTGACCAGATTAGTCCCAGGAAAAAGATTATGAGAAAGAGATTAACCATTTTGGAAAACGAAATCGCAATTAAAAAGAAAAAACATAAATAAGATCTTAAAGGTTTAAGAGAAAAGGCAAAGGCTAGACCATACAGATTAAAATATCTAAATCAAGTTATTGCTCGTAATGGAAAGATAATTCATCAACATAGAAAAAAATTAAAAGAAAATTTTTTAAATATACAGTTAAAAAAACTTCAAAATCAAATTTTTTATTTGAAACAACAGTTAACATTCACCGAAACCAAGTTTTTTAATCAGAAGACAATGTTATCCCAACAACTTGCTGACAAAAATTCTGCAATTCTTGTACTTCAAAATGACATACTGGTTTTACAGGAAAAGTTAGAAGATATTCAGCAAGTAACACAAAACACCAAAAATGAAAAATGCTACTCAGCAGATATCAGAACACTAAGTTCCTACACATAGTGTGCCATCTCTGCTCCATAAAATTGAAGAACATACTGGCTATCAATTTAGTCAAATTCCACATCGGACAACTTTAGAACAAATGATGCGTGAGCTTGGTATTCTTTCAGACTTACAGACTGCTGAGATATTTACAACGAGCATTTACAACGAAAGATCTGACACTTGGTTTTGATGCAACAACCCAGGAGGGTGTTCATGTAAATGCTGTGCACTTAACAACCGAATCAGTATGTATGGTTGTAGCTATTGATCAACTTCCTGGAGGTACAGCTTATGACTATAAGAGTCATATTACAAAATCTGTTGATAATCTTGCTAAGTTATATAGTGACTTCTACAAGCTTAAATACACTGATGTAAGAAGCACTATTATCGGGAACATAACAAATACCATGAGTGATAGAGTTGCAACAAACCATGCAACAGTCTCAAAGTTAAACCTAGTTTGGCAGAAATCATTAAATGAACTTAACTGTCACCTTCACCCCTTGGACACAATGACAAGCTCTTGCAAGTCTTCACTTAATGCATTAGAGACTTCGAAAGGGAAACTTTTTGGAAAAGACTGCATAGCAGCAAACATTGTTGTACAGCTGAACAAACTTCGTTACAAGGATGCTAAAGGTACCTATATAGTTTTAAAACCACTCTTTTACTTTAACATAGTGTAGTTTTGTAAATAAAATTACAAGTTAAAAATATATATATATTATAATTATTGCATGTTTTTAATTCATATTCTCCTTGCAACTCCTAAAATGACTTTCTTTATGTTATTCATAGGCAATCCAAAGGGTTTTATAACCTTTTTGGACCAACATGAGTTGCCCAGAGGATTGCTACCACGCTATAGAGGGAACAGACTACATATACTTTTTCTCACATGTGGTATTTTGATCCATCATTATGCCATATTGAAGATATTTCTGTGTTCTGGCTTGGCGTTATGTGGAGGTCTGCGAAATAGTTTGTTTCAAGACTTTACATCTGAAATAGGTATACCACTATTATTTACAATATTATAGGTTATAGAATGCATCTTTATAACATAGTAATGACACATGATTAACAAAGAATAAAGACAAATTTTATTTTTTGTTACTTATTAACTAATTTACCTTAGGTATCCGTGAGTTGTGTGTTTTAATTGGAAAGCTACTTTCTGGGCCTTGGATGACAAAATTTTATATTGCACCAGGTACAGGACTTGACTACATATCTGGCATTCAGGTAGTAAAAGATGTTAGGAACACTCTTATTGAGAGCAGCAAGAATCCCTTATCTCTACTTAAACGAAAAACTGATTTCTTTGGTAATGATATTAAAGATGTTGTTTTTGATTCAATAATCAGCTTTTGCCCAGTAACTAATGAAATGAGTAAAGCATTAGGTGACTGTCTTAATGCTGTTATTAGCGTCATTGACAGGCAGTACAAGCGTCAGTTCGAAATGAGTTCTAATGATCTTCTTAAAGACCAGACTAAGTCAGCTAGGCTTCACAACATTGATTCAGAAGAACTTATGGGTATGTTTAGCGCTGCAAAGCACAAAGCTCCTAATGCTACTCTTTGTTTTTTTTCTTCGAAACTTCGTGCTTGCAAAAATAAAACAACTGCTCCGCTTTGTAAAAAGCCAACTGATATTCAAAACAAGTTGATACTATGGGCTATCTCTAATGCCAGGAAAAATCGATTTACAAGTATGCAATGTCATAATGAACTGAAGTTAGAACTGCTAAAACGAATGGCGGATAAAATTCAGAAAAGGGAGGACAAAGACCGCAGAAAGGTAGAAAAAATATTAAAAAGTTGCATGCCCGATCAGGTAAAAGAATTGTTTCCTGACCTAGAAAATAACGAGGCCTCAGATATTGAAGAAATTCTTATTGGAGCTGCTATTGGAAGAAGTATTTGCCACATGTGGTTCGATAATGCCAATAACACCCATGAGGTATATTACGGCAGAGTTGTTAGCATTAAAAAGAAGAACAATGATATATATATATAGTTTCTTATTGGAAACCAAAAGAAAATGAAGATGATGACGGTGTTGAGTATGATATGAGCAAATATCAACTTTCTGCAGACATAATAAGCGGTGATATGGTGATAACATAACAGAATTGTGTAATAATAAGGTATATGTTATTTTAAGTATTAGTATGTCTTATAAACTTGCATTAACAGATATTATTTACAGATAGTAGGTGAATTTCTTTTTTTTTTTAAGAATAAATTTTGCAATGCCTTATATATATCTAATTCCTTCCTTTTTTTGTAGTATTTTGAAAAGATTTATAATTTTTTAATTTGTTTTTATATATACATATATTTATATAGAAGTTTAATTTTAGGTAGTCGGGTAGTTACCGACATCCAACAACCAGGGTTGACCTGGTTGCAACGTGCCTGGTTGCAACGAAACCAAAGCTCATTTACTTTTTGACATAAGCAAATTGCTTGGCTTATGACAATTAATGTTTATCAATGATGTTTATCATTATCAATGATGGCAATGCATTTTTCTATCAAGTATAACAGAGTTTCGCTTGCGTGGATTGAGAGATGTTAGTGTTCCATTACAATAAATCCCTTTAAAATTAAAAATTTTATTTATTATTTATTTGCTTGCCATTACCAGAGAGTAATGACCAGATAACTTTTTCTTCATTATAATTTTTAATCAAATCTTTTATATTTCAGGTTAAACAGTATTGAAGGGTCGGCTATCGATTTTTTTGTTTGGTAATGGGAAGTTTGTTGTGTATCAGGAGTTAAGTGATTTTAAATTTTTTAACTTAATAAATCATTCTCATATTTAGTAATCTCTAATGGGTTTTTCAGTTATGGTGCTAAATATCTAATGCATTTTCATTTATTTTTTATTGCAAGGTTTTAACAATAATGACAATTTGCTACTGTGGATATTTATGTTAAAGACCTCAAGATTAAATTTAT